ACCAGGCAGGAGGCCACAGGCAGGAGGCACGGCTCCAAGATGGCACCAGGCAGGTGGCACCAGGCAGGTGGCCGGGTTTCCTCGGGACTGAGCTGCACTTCCTAACCTCCTGCCAAATGTATGACCATATTAGAGACAGATATTTCCCTCAGATTACACAGACCCACAAACAATTCGAAAACAAACCCAATTTTGATAAACTCCCATATCTATTGGGTGAAATACCACAGTGTGCCATCACAGCAGCAAGATTTGTGACCTGTTGCTACAAGAAAAGGGCAACCAGTGAAGAACAAACACCATTGTAAATACAACCCATATGTATGTTTATTGATTTTCCCTTTTGTACTTTAACTATTTGCACATCGTTACAACACTGTATATATACATAATATGACATTTGAAATGTCTTTATTCTTTTGAAACTTTTGTGAGTGTAATGTTGACTGTTCATTTTTTATTGTTTATTTCACTTTAGTTTATTATCTACTTCACTTGCTTTGGCAAATGTAAACATATGTTTCCCATGCCAATAAAGCCCTTCAATTGAAATTGAATTGAGAGAGAGTAGAGAGAGAGAGCAAGATAATCTGATCTGTCCAATAATAGAGGTTACAAAGTCCCAGTTTCGTTATTTAAGTCTACTAACTATTTAACAGATGTAGACTAAAATAGATTTGGAAATAAAATACAAACATTACAAAATAAAGGATTATTTTTTATTTCTGGCCTATTATTACTGTGTCTGTAAATTTCGTGCTCTGTAGTCTGAACCTAAGTATTACAAGGCCGGGAAACTTGTGAATATAGGCTGATTTATTACATACAGCCACCAATTGTGCTAATATATATATATATATATACAGTGGGGAAAAAAAGTATTTAGTCAGCCACCAATTGTGCAAGTTCTCCCACTTAAAAAGATGAGAGAGGCCTGTAATTTTCATCATAGGTACATGTCAACTATGACAGACAAAATGAGAAAAAAAATCCAGAAAATCACATTGTAGGATTTTTAATGAATTTATTTGCAAATTATGGTGGAAAATAAGTATTTGGTCAATAACAAAAGTTTCTCAATACTTTGTTATATACCCTTTGTTGGCAATGACACAGGTCAAACGTTTTCTGTAAGTCTTCACAAGGTTTTCACACACTGTTGCTGGTATTTTGGCCCATTCCTCCATGCAGATCTCCTCTAGAGCAGTGATGTTTTGGGGTTGTCGCTGGGCAACACAGACTTTCAACTCCCTCCAAAGATCTTCTATGGGGTTGAGATCTGGAGACTGGCTAGGCCACTCCAGGACCTTGAAATGCTTCTTACGAAGCCACTCCTTCGTTGCCCGGGCGGTGTGTTTGGGATCATTGTCATGCTGAAAGACCCAGCCACGTTTCATCTTCAATGCCTTTGCTGATGGAAGGAGGTTTTCACTCAAAATGTCACGATACATGGCCCCATTCATTCTTTCCTTTACACGGATCAGTCGTCCTGGTCCCTTTGCAGAAAAACAGCCCCAAAACATTATGTTTCCACCCCCATGCTTCACAGTAGGTATGGTGTTCTTTGGATGCAACTCAGCATTCTTTGTCCTCCAAACACGACGAGTTGAGTTTTTACCAAAAAGTTATATTTTGGTTTCATCTGACCATATGACATTCTCCCAATCCTCTTCTGGATCATCCAAATGCACTCTAGCAAACTTCAGACGGGCCTGGACATGTACTGGCTTAAGCAGGGGGACACGTCTCGCACTGCAGGATTTGAGTCCCTGGCGGCGTAGTGTGTTACTGATGGTAGGCTTTGTTACTTTGGTCCCAGCTCTCTGCAGGTCATTCACTAGGTCCCCCCGTGTGGTTCTGGGATTTTTGCTCACCGTTCTTGTGATCATTTTGACCCCACGGGGTGAGATCTTGCGTGGAGCCCCAGATCGAGGGAGATTATCAGTGGTCTTGTATGTCTTCCATTTCCTCCCACAGTTGATTTCTTCAAACCAAGCTGCTTACCTATTGCAGATTCAGTCTTCCCAGCCTGGTGCAGGTCTACAATTTTGTTTCTGGTGTCCTTTGACAGCTCTTTGGTCTTGGCCATAGTGGAGTTTGGAGTGTGACTGTTTGAGGTTGTGGACAGGTGTCTTTTATACTGATAACAAGTTCAAACAGGTGCCATTAATACAGGTAACGAGTGGAGGACAGAGGAGCCTCTTAAAGAAGAAGTTACAGGTCTGTGAGAGCCAGAAATCTTGCTTGTTTGTAGGTGACCAAATACTTATTTTCCACCATAATTTGCAAATAAATTCATAAAAAATCCTACAATGTGATTTTCTGGATTTTTTTCTCTCAATTTGTCTGTCATAGTTGACGTGTACCTATGATGAAAATGACAGGCCTCTCTCATCTTTTTAAGTGGGAGAACTTGCACAATTGGTGGCTGACTAAATACTTTTTTCCCCACTGTAGGCTATAGGCAAATGGAAATGATGCTTATGCTATCTATTTTGAACAAAAGTTGACAAATACATTTTTATTAATTGGAATCCAGCATGTTTAGCATATACAATTACTTACAGACTAGAACCATTGAATGAATTATTTTAATGTTTGATCAAAAACCTGATCAAAACGGACACCACGTCTCTTCCACTAGAAACTACATTTCCCAAAATCCATCGTCCCAACAGAATGGGGTGCCCCTAGGAATGCCGGAACATTTCAATACACCAAAGCTTTGTGTTTACTATTCTACATTATATAAAATAATGCAGACATTGTATATGGGTTTTCAGTCAGCTTCTCGTATCCTTCTGTTCTTCGGAAAATATATTTTATGACTCAAAATAACTCTAATGATTAAGGCAATTGACATGTGTATCATGCCTCTTCAACTTGGACGCAATCACAAGTAAACAGTCGCTTCAGGTTGTAGTCAAATGCTGCTAGCTAGGTAACTGTAAAATAACAACATTCCTGTACGATAATAAGATTATATAGAAGTTATGAGCAAGCGCGAAGGTAATCAAATTAATTATTAACATTATGTATGATGTGTAAAATCGCTATGCTCTGGATTTGAAGCGGGGCATAAATGTGGAATTCACATAGCTAGCTAGCTAATCATGTTTGTCCCATAAAGCCTACACTAGCTATATTTAAGCAATAAGCCCCGAGGGGGTGTGGTAGATGGACAATATACCACGGCTAAGGGATGTTCTCAGTATGACGCAACGCGGAGTGCCTGGATATATCCCTTAGCCGAGGAATATTGGTCAAATACCACAAACCCCCGAGGTGCCTTATTGCTATTATAAACTGGTTACCAACGTAATTAGAGCAGTAAAAAGACATGTTTTGTAATACCGTTTATAATGTAAATTAGAAACTGTGTGGTTTGAGCTCTGAATGCTGATTGGCTGACAGCCGTGGTATATTTAAGCAATAAGGCACGAGGGGGTATGGTATATGGCCAATATACCATGGCTAAGGGCAGGGCTGTTCTTATGCACAACGCAACGCGGAGTGCCTGGATACAGCCCTTAGCCGTGGTATATTGGCCATATACCACAAACCCCTGAGGTGCCTTATTGCTATAATAAACTGGTTAACAACGTCATTAGAGCAGTAAAAACTAATGTTTTGTCATACCCATGGTATACGGTCTGATATACCACAGCTGTCAGCCAATCAGTATTCAGGGCTTGAACCACCCAGTTTATCACAGACCATATACCATGGGTATGACAAAACATTTATTTTTACTCTTCTAATTACGTTGGTAACCAGTTTATAATAGCAATAAGGCACCTCAGGGGTTTGTGGTATATGGCCAATATACCACAGCTAAGGGCTGTGCCCAGGCACTCCGTGTTGCATCGTGCGAAAGAACAGCCCTTCGCCGTGGTATGTTGGCCATATACCACACCCCCTCGGGCCTTAATGCTTAAATATAATATGAATCTTTCATCTGTAATCTCCGTGTCTCTCTCCTCAGGTGAAGGGTATCCTCATCTGTAATCTCCCTGTCTCTCTCCTCAGGTGAAGGGGTGACCTCATCTGGAATCTCCCTGTCTCTCTCCTCAGGTGAAGGGGTGACCTCATCTGTAATCTCCGTGTCTCTCTCCTCAGGTGAAGGGGTGACCTCATCTGGAATCTCCCTGTCTCTCTCCTCAGGTGAAGGGGTGACCTCATCTGGAATCTCCCTGTCTCTCTCCTCAGGTGAAGGGGTGACCTCATCTGGAATCTCCCTGTCTCTCTCCTCAGGTGAAGGGGTGACCTCATCTGTAATCTCCGTGTCTCTCTCCTCAGGTGAAGGGGTGACCTCATCTGTAATCTCCCTGTCTCTCTCCTCAGGTGAAGGGGTGACCTCATCTGTAATCTCCGTGTCTCTCTCCTCAGGTGAAGGGGTGACCTCATCTGTAATCTCCGTGTCTCTCTCCTCAGGTGAAGGGGTGACCTCATCTGGAATCTCCCTGTCTCTCTCCTCAGGTGAAGGGGTGACCTCATTTGTAATCTCCCTGTCTCTCTCCTCAGGTGAAGGGGTGACCTCATCTGTAATCTCCGTGTCTCTCTCCTCAGGTGAAGGGGTGACCTCATTTGTAATCTCCCTGTCTCTCTCCTCAGGTGAAGGGGTGACCTCATTTGTAATCTCCCTGTCTCTCTCCTCAGGTGAAGAGGTGACCTCATTTGTAATCTCCCTGTCTCTCTCCTCAGGTGAAGGGTGTCCTCGGATGAAGACAACTCAGAAAACAGATGACCGCGACACAGGAGCTAACCTGACATCACCTGTGATAGCTGCATTCAAAGGTATCTACTAGATAACTTTCTGTGGTACCTTCGGTTACACTGATTGATGTGAGAAAGAATTTAGAATCAGCCCAGAGTTCACTCCTCCTTCTCCCACCCCCGTCTCCACCTCCTCCTCTCTCCTCTTGCTGTATGCTTAAAAATGGACTTTACGTTTTAATTTGCTTCATGATAACATATAGTTATGGTAGGAAGAGAATGAGATGCAGCCTACTAATCAGATATTTCTACCAGTGTTCCAGCAGGACCTAGACACCAAGCATGACAAGCATGAGCGCCTGGTCAAACTCAGCAGAGACATCACCATCGAAAGCAAGAGGACAATATTTCTACTGCACAGAGTCACCAGGTAAATTGTCTGAACTACAAACTGGGGTCTGCCAGGGTCCTTAGGGGGTCCTCAGCAGCAAGGGGAAAGGAAAAAGTCTGTATAAGAAAAATATAATATCATATAGTTGGTCACTTCTAATGGTTTAAAATCAAATGCAGTGTTAAATATCATCTAGGTTAGCCAAATCATTTTATTTTTGTTTGTTGATGCATTGATTAAAGCTGCAATATGTAACTTTTTGGGTGACCGGACCAAATTCACATAGAAATGTGAGTTATAGATCTGTCATTCTCATTGAAAGCAAGTCTGAGAAGCGGTAGATCTGTTCTATGTGCGCTATTTCTATGCTTCCTGTTCATTCTTAAGTTTCGTTTTTGTGTCTTTTGCTTTCAGTTTTGTACACCAGCTTCAAACAGCTGAAAATACAATATTTTTGTTTATAGAAAATCTATTTCCCAGCGGTTTAGATGGTCCAATGATTCTCTACACTACACTAGCTTGTTTTGTCACAACCTGAAATTAGACAAACTATTAAAATTTTAGCGACCAGGAAATGGCGGAGTGGTTTTTGCAAAGTGCACCTTTAAATGTCCATCTTATTCCAGTAGATAATCTAACCTGATGTGAATGTTTTTCCCTGCAGTGTCCCAGACGTGGAGGAGGTCCTGAATGAAGCTGATTTGAAGCTGGACGGAGTGAGACTGAAGATCAGACTGATTGCTGAGGAGCTCAGAGGAGAGGATCTGTATCAGTACCACAGAGCCTTCACCCCAGGTACACACACACACACACACACACACACACACACACACACACACACACACACACACACACACACACACACAGACACAGGTACACACACACACAGAGACACACACACACACAGACACAGACAGACACACACACAGACACACACAGACACAGGTACACACACACACGAGACACACAGCACACACAGACGACACACACAAGACACAGCAACATCAAGCAATAGGACATATACCAACCACAACTACAACCCCACCAACAAAAAAAAACAACAACACACCAAACATTAACGAACAGACACCAATCACAAAATTCCTTATCCTAAGCAAAACAACTCTAGTGCACCCCTACAATTGTTGCCACATTGTAGACACCCCCTACAATATGATAGACACCCACTATGATGCAACCTTACACACCTATTGACCCCTACAATTTAGCACCAAATGATGCAACTACTTAATAGCACACCATCAATATGATAACCCATAAATATAGCCACCCACTAAATATGATGACACCCTACAATATGATAGCCACCCACTAAATGAATAACCACCACTACAATGATAACCACCCCTACAATAGACACACCCCACACACAGACAAACCACCCCAACCATAGACACACACCACACAAATGCAATAGACAACACCCACACACCAACACACAACACAACAACAAAAAACAACACACACACACACATGAAGAACACACCCATAGACACAACCAGACAACAACACACACACTCAAATAACACACACCACACATAACCACACAAGCATAACACACAACACATATGAACACACACCACACATAACACACACACACATACACCACCACAACACACACACACACACAACACATGACACACACCACAACATACACACACAACACACATAATCTACGACAACCACACATTAAGACACACCACTACATATGATAACACACCACTACAATATGATAGCACCACACTAACATATGATAGAACACTACAATGATAGACACACCCATCATATGATAGACACACCCACTACAATCACACAATACTATAGACACCCACAAGAAGACACACCACCTACAATACTAAATATGATAGACACAACACCACTACAATAGAATAGACACACACACAACACAATCACTACAATATGATCACACGACACAACCCACTACAATATGATAGACACACACCACTAGACACACACATATATGAACACGACCAACACAGCACTACAATATGATAGACACACCCCACTACAAACCTAACAACATACATATAGACACCACCCACTACAATATGATAGACACAAACCCACTACAATCACTACAATATGATAGACACACCCACTACAATATGATTAGACACACCCACTACAATCACTACAATATGATATAGACACACCCACTACAATATGATAGACACACCCACTACAATCACTACAATATGATATAGACACACCCACTACAATATGATAGACACACCCACTACAATATGATATTAGACACACCCACTACATATGATAACACAACCCACTACAAATACAATACTAAACACAGAATATAGACACACCCACAAATCACTACAATATGATAAGACACACCCACCACTAAAATATGATAGACACACCCACTACAACACTACAAATGAATAGACACACCCCACTACAATATGATAGACACACCCACTACAATCACTACAATATGATAACAACACCAAACCCACTACAATATGATAGACACACCCCACTAAACACACAATATGATAGACACACCCACTACAATATGATAGACACACCCACTACACATACATATGATAGACACACCCCACTACACAATATGATAGACACACCCACTACAATATGATATAGACACACCCACTACAATATGATTAGAACACCAACACCCACTACAATATGATAGACACACACACCAAACTACAACACTACAATATGATAGACACACCCACTATACAATCACTACAATATGATAGCACACCACAAAAAAACAACCCACTACAATCATACAATATGATATAGACACACCCACTACAATATGATAGACACACCCACTACAATCACTACAATATGATAGACACACCCACTACAATCATTACAATATGATATTAGACACACCCACTACAATATGATAGACACACCCACTACAATCACTATAATATGATAGACACACCCACTATAATCACTACAATATGATAGACACACCCACTACAATATGATATTAGACACACCCACTACAATATGTATAGCACCCACTACAATAGACACCCACTACTACAATATAATATGATAGACACACCACACACTAACCAATACACATATGATAGACACAACACCACTACAATATGAATAGACACACCCCACTACAATATAATAGAGACACACACCACTACCACATTACAATATGATATTAGACACACCCACACAATAGATAGACACACCACATACACACTACAATATGATAGACACCACATACACCAAACATGATAGACACACCACTATCATAATATGATAGACACACCCACAATATGATGAACACCACTAAATATGATAGACACACCACCCACTACAATATGATAGACACACCCACTACAATATGATATAGACACCCACTACAATGATAACACACCACTACAATCATAAATAATATAGAACACCCACTACAATATATATAGACACACCCACTACAATATGAATAGACACACCCACTACATATAACAACACATACAATATGATAGACACACCCACTACAATATGATAGACACAACACCCACTACAATCACTACAATATGATAGAACACACCCACTACAATATGATAGACACACCCACTACAATATATATAGCACACCCACACAAATGATAACACACCCACTAAATATGATAGACACACCCACTACTACAATATGATAGACACACCCACTACAATATGATATAGACACACACCCACTACAATATGATATAGACACACCCCACTACAATATGATAGACACACAACCCACTACAATATGATATAGACACACCCCTACAATTGATGCACACCCACTACAATATGATAAGACACACCCACTACAATATGATAGACACACCACTACATAGAAACACACCCACTACATATGATATACCCCCTACAATAGATGACACACCCACTACAATATGATATAGACACACCCACTACAATATGATAGACACACCACATATAGACACACCCACTACAATCACTACAATATGATATAGACACACCCACTACAATATGATAGACACACCCACTACAATATGATATAGACACACCCACTACAATATGATAGACACACCCACTACAATATGATAGACACACCCACTACAATATGATAGACACACCCACTACAATATGATATAGACACACCCACTACAATATGATAGACACACCCACTACAATATGATATAGACACACCCACTACAATATGATTAGACCACACCCACTACAATATGATATAGAGTAAATATAATTTTTTGCATCGGTTGGGTAGAGAGAGAGAGATACTGTAGACTACTTTATCACTGACCTCAACCCAGAGTCTCTCAGAGCGTTCAGTCAGCCCACTGACACCCCTATCAGACCACAGCAAAATCACAGTCTGCTTGAACAGAGCAATACTCAATCATGAGGCATCAAAGCCAAAGGAACTGAACAAGTCTAAACATCTCAAGCAGAAAACCTAAGAAAATTAACAACAATGACAAATGGTTTGATGAAGAATGCAAAAACCTAAGAAAGACATTGAGAAACCTATCCAACCAAAAACATAGAGACCCAGAAAACCTGAGCCTATGCCTTCACTATGGTGAATCACTAAAACAATACAGAAATACACTATGGAAAAAGAAGGAACAGCATGTCAGAAATCAGCTCAATGTAATTGAAGAATCCATAGACTCTAACCACTTCTGGGAAAATTGGAAAACACTAAACAAACAACAACACGAAGAGTTATCTATCCAAAACGGAGATGTATGGGTAAACCACTTCTCCAATCTTTTTGGCTCTATAACAAAGAACAAACAGCAAAAACATATACATGATCAAATACAAATCTTAGAATCAACTATTAAAGACTACCAGAACCCACTGGATTCTCCAATTACATTGAATGAACTACAGGACAAAATACAAACCCTCCAACCCAAAAAGGCCTGTGGTGTTGATGGTATCCTAAATGAAATGATAAAATATACAGACCACTAATTCCAATTGTGGATACTTAAACTCTTTAACATCATCCTCAGCTCTGGCATCTTCCCCAATATTTGGAACCAAGGACTGATCACCACAATCAACAAAAGTGGAGACATTTGACCCCAATAACTACCGTGGGATATGCGTCAACAGCAACCTTGGGAAAATCCTCTGCATTATCATTAACAGCAGACTAGTTCATTTCCTCAGTGAAAACAATGTACTGAGCAAATGTCAAATTGGCTTTTTACCAAATTACTGTATGACAGACCACGTATTCACCCTGCACACCCTAATTGATAAACAAACAAAACAAAACAAAGGCAAAGTCTTCTCATGCGTTGTTGATGTTGACTCAATTTGACATGAGGGTCTGCTATACAAATTGATGGAAAGTGGTATTAGGGGAAAAACATATGACGTTATAAAATCCATGTACACAAAAAAAATCCTCTAATCTCCACACAATACCCTATAATGACAAAGTTAAAACATGTTTTTAGACATTTTTAGAAAATGTAATGCAGAAATATCTCATTTACAGTATTCACACCCCTGAGTCAATACATGTTAGAATCACCTTTGGCAGCGATTACAGCTGTGAGTCTTTCTGGGTAAGTCTCTAAGAGCTTTCCATACCTGGATTGTGCAACATTTGCCCATTTATTCTTTTCTAAATTCTTCAAGCTCTGTCAAGTTGGTTGTTGATCATTGCTAGACAACCATTTTCTGATTTTGCGATAGGTTTTCAAGAAGATTTAAGTCAAAACTAACTTGGCCACTCAGGAACATTCAATGTCGCCTTGGTAACAGTGTAGATTTGGCCTTGTGTTTTAGGTTATTGTCCTGCTGAAAGGTGAATTCATCTCCCAGTGTCTGATGGAAAGCAGATTGAACCAGGGTCTCCTCTAGGATTTTGTCTGTGCTTAGCTCCATTCCGTTTCTTCTTTGTCCGGAAAAACTCCCCAGTCCATACCGAACACATGATGCAGCCACCACTATGCTTGAAAATATGGAAAGTGGTACTCAGTAATGTGTTGTATTGGTGCCCTTCTTTGCGAGGCATCGGAAAACCTCCCTGGTCTGTGTGGTTGAATCTGTGTTTAAAATACACTACTCAACTGATGGACCTTACAGATAATTGTATGTGTGGGGGTACAGAGATGAGGTAGTCGTTAAAAAATCATGTTAAACACTATTGCACACAGAGTGAGTCCATTTTTTACTCCTGAACTTATTTAGGCTTACCCTAACAAAGAGGTTGAATACTTATTGACTCAAGACATTTCAGCTTTTCATTTTCTATGAATTTGTAAACATTTTGAAAAACATAATTCCACTTTCACATTATGGTATACAGTGGGGGAAAAAAGTATTTAGTCAGCCACCAATTGTGCAAGTTCTCCCACTTAAAAAGATGAGAGAGGCCTGTAATTTTCATCATAGGTACACGTCAACTATGACAGACAAAATGAGGAAAAAAAATCCAGAAAATCACATTGTAGGATTTTTAATGAATTTATTTGCAAATTATGGTGGAAAATAAGTATTTGGTCAATAACAAAAGTTTCTCAATACTTTGTTATATACCCTTTGTTGGCAATGACACAGGTCAAACGTTTTCTGTAAGTCTTCACAAGGTTTTCACACACTGTTGCTGGTATTTTGGCCCATTCCTCCATGCAGATCTCCTCTAGAGCAGTGATGTTTTGGGGCTGTCGCTGGGCAACACAGACTTTCAACTCCCTCCAAAGATTTTCTATGGGGTTGAGATCTGGAGACTGGCTAGGCCACTCCAGGACCTTGAAATGCTTCTTACGAAGCCACTCCTTCGTTGCCCAGGCGGTGTGTTTGGGATCATTGTCATGCTGAAAGACCCAGCCACGTTTCATCTTCAATGCCCTTGCTGATGGAAGGAGGTTTTCACTCAAAATCTCACGATACGTGGCCCCATTCATTCTTTCCTTTACACGGATCAGTCGTCCTGGTCCCTTTGCAGAAAAACAGCCCCAAAGCATGATGTTTCCACCCCCATGCTTCACAGTAGGTATGGTGTTCTTTGGATGCAACTCAGCATTCTTTGTCCTCCAAACACAACGAGTTGAGTTTTTACCAAAAAGTTATATTTTGGTTTCATCTGACCATATGACATTCTCCCAATCCTCTTCTGGATCATCCAAATGCACTCTAGCAAACATCAGACGGGCCTGGACATGTACTGGCTTAAGCATGGGGACACGTCTTGCACTGCAGGATTTGAGTCCCTGGCGGCGTAGTGTGTTACTGATGGTAGGCTTTGTTACTTTGGTCCCAGCTCTCTGCAGGTCATTCACTAGGTCCCCCCGTGTGGTTCTGGGATTTTTGCTCACCGTTCTTGTGATCATTTTGACCCCACAGGGTGAGATCTTGCGTGGAGCCTCAGATCGAGGGAGATTTTCAGTGGTCTTGTATGTCTTCCATTTCCTAATAATTGCTCCCACAGTTGATTTCTTCAAACCAAGCTGCTTACCTATTGCAGATTCAGTCTTCCCAGCCTGCTGCAGGTCTACAATTTTGTTTCTGGTGTCCTTTGACAGCTCTTTGGTCTTGGCCATAGTGGAGTTTGGAGTGTGACTGTTTGAGGTTGTGGACAGGTGTCTTTTATACTGATAACAAGTTCAAACAGGTGCCATTAATACAGGTAACGAGTGGAGGACAGAGGAGCCTCTTAAAGAAGAAGTTACAGGTCTGTGAGAGCCAGAAATCTTGCTTGTTTGTAGGTGACCAAATACTTATTTTCCACCATCATTTGCAAATAAATTAATAAAAAATCCTACAATGTGATTTTCTGGATTTATTTTCCTCAATTTGTCTGTCATAGTTGACATGTACCTATGATGAAAATTACAGGCCTCTCTCATATTTTTAAGTGGGAGAACTTGCACAATTGGTGGCTGACTAAATACTTTTTTCCCCCACTGTATTGTATGTAAACCAGTGACAAAAACCCACACATTTTATTCTTTTTAAATTCTGGCTATAACACAACAAAATGTGGAAGAAGTCAAGGGGTATGAATACTTTCTGAAGGCACTGTATTTGCGACCGCTCGACTAAAAACATCTGTCGACCAACAGCCTTGCGACCAAACCATGGGTTGACTAAATGGGGTCAGCCCTGCACCAATTACAGTACAGCAAATAGTGTTTGTTTTCTTTCAAAAACATAAGCTGCAATTTAGTTGAATTGAGCTTCCCTGGCACAATGGAACCAGTGGAATAGTCCCAAAAGTACAAGCCCCATCCATCTGGCACTCCAGGCAAATACTGACAGTATTTAAAAGAAAACATATTCAGTCTGCCAGTCAGATACCATGCTTCCACTCCACCAATCTCGTTTGGACATTTGGAAATTCCTCTCGGCTCATGCTAGAGTGAGTGAATCAATAACAAAATCACAAATCCAAACCCCTAGCATTTGAAGGTTCCATGGTGTTCTGACCTCTGAAATAAGGTCTCCTCTGTGCTTGTAGTTGGCAGGTAGGCCTGTGCCACTATAATAGTTGTTATGCAGGTGCCAGTTTGGCCTGTGCCCAAGGACTGGATTGGACTGGTTGATTTCCCATGACAGGGGTTTTCCAACCCGACACCACCTCACAGGAAGATGGACGCTGAAAGATAACAGTCAACTGTTATATTATTGTTCATTTCCTCTCTCAGCTCGTTCCAATGGGCTTCCCTCAACGTTTCCTTCAGGTTCATTTCCTCTCTCAGCTCGTTCCAATGGGCTTCCTTCAACGTTTCCTTCAGGTTCATTTCCTCTCTCAGCTCGTTCCAATGGGCTTCCTTCAACGTTTCCTTCAGGTTCATTTCCTCTCTCAGCTCGTTCCAATGGGCTTCCTTCAACGTTTCCTTCAGGTTCATTTCCTCTCTCAGCTCGTTCCAACGGGCTTCCCTCAACGTTTCCTTCAGGTTCATTTCCTCTCTCAGCTCGTTCCAATGGGCTTCCTTCAACGTTTCCTTCAGGTTCATTTCCTCTCTCAGCTCGTTCCAACGGGCTTCCCTCAACGTTTCCTTCAGGTTCATTTCCCCTCTCAGCTCGTTCCAATGGGCTTCCTTCAACGTTTCCTTCAGGTTCATTTCCTCTCTCAGCTCGTTCCAATGGGCTTCCCTCAACGTTTCCTTCAGGTTCATTTCCTCTCTCAGCTCGTTCCAATGGGCTTCCTTCAACATTTCCTTCAGGTTCATTTCCTCTCTCAGCTCGTTCCAACGGGCTTCCTTCAACGTTTCCTTCAGGTTCATTTCCTCTCTCAGCTCGTTCCAATGGGCTTCCTTCAACGTTTCCTTCAGGTTCATTTCCTCTCTCAGCTCGTTCCAATGGGCTTCCTTCAACGTTTCCTTCAGGCTCATTTCCTCGCTCAGCTCGTTCCAATGGGCTTCCTTCAACGTTTCCTTCAGGCTCATTTCCTCTCTAGTTTAGGACTGGAGGGAACTCCCTCTACCTGCTGATGTCATATCCTGTTTAGTAGGGACTGGAGGGAACTCCCTCTACCTGCTGATGTCATATCCTGTTTAGTAGGGACTGGAGGGAACTCCCTCTACCTGCTGATGTCATATCCTGTTTAGTAGGGACTGGAGGGAACTCCCTCTACCTGCTGATGTCATATCCTGTTTAGTAGGGACTGGAGGGAACTCCCTCTACCTGCTGATGTCATATCCTGTTTAGTAGGGACTGGAGGGAACTCCCTCTACCTGCTGATGTCATATCCTGTTTAGTAGGGACTGGAGGGAACTGCCTCTTTCTGCTGATGTCATATCCTGTTTAGTAGGGACTGGAGGGAACTGCCTCTACCTGCTGATGTCATATCCTGTTTAGTAGGGACTGGAGGGAACTCCCTCTACCTGCTGATGTCATATCCTGTTTAGTAGGGACTGGAGGGAACTCCCTCTACCTGCTGATGTCATATCCTGTTTAGTAGGGACTGGAGGGAACTCCCTCTACCTGCTGATGTCATATCCTGTTTAGTAGGGACTGGAGGGAACTCCCTCTACCTGCTGATGTCATATCCTGTTCAGTAGGGACTGGAGGGAACTCCCTCTACCTGCTGATGTCATATCCTGTTTAGTTGGGACTGGAGGGAACTCCCTCTACCTGCTGATGTCATATCCTGTTTAGTAGGGACTGGAGGGAACTCCCTCTACCTGCTGATGTCATATCCTGTTTAGTAGAAACTGGAGGGAACTCCCTCTACCTGCTGGCTTTAATCTCTAGAACCTTTTGATGTCATATTCTGTTTAGTTTAGCCAGGGATGGAACAGTCATGAGTCAGTGGGCGCGTTCGAGTGGATCAATTTAATGTAGTCAGTGATCATTGTTCCCTCTCCCTCCCTCCCTCAGGTATCCAGGAGTACGTGGAGGCTGTGTCGTTCCATCACTTCATCAGACATCGTACTCTCATTAGCCTGGAGGAGATTAACACCAAGCTGGTCTTCATCAAGGAGCCTGAGGCCAAGGTATGACTGGATCGTCAAGGGGAACGTGTCATATCACAATTATTGATATTAGCTGACCCTTATATCAGAGAGAAGCACATTGAGTAACATTGCACTGAGTGAATAGACATGGAAGAACCATAAACATTATAATGAATCATAGTATGTTAGCTGCATACCGATAGCCTGATACAGTGTCTGGATATGGTTGACCAAGCACATTACTGCCAACGGTCAACCCGGATTTAGCAACTACTTGTGCTAAGTCATTGGAGATAATGATAACTATCACTAATGTCCTTCTGGTGGAGATAATGATAGATCTATCACTAATGTCCTTCTGGTGGAGATGGATGAATCATCAAATGATGAGGGAGGAGGATGACCTGCCTATGATGATGTTGTTGTTGTTGTTATTGTTGTGGTTGTTTATGGCCGCATTATGAGCTACCTCTTCTACAGCACTTACCCCTCGTCTAGGGGAATGGTGCTGGAGGGAATAGGGGGAATGGTGCTGGAGGGATTAGGGGGAATGGTGCTGGAGGGAATAGGGGGAATGGTGCTGGAGGGAATAGGGGGAATGGTGCTGGAGGGAATAGGGGGAATGGTGCTGGAGGGAATAGGGGGAATGGTGCTGGAGGGAATAGGGGGAATGGTGCTGGAGGGAATAGGGGGAATGGTGCTGGAGGGAATAGGGGGAATGGTGCTGGAGGGAATAGGGGGAATGGTGCTGGAGGGAATAGGGGGAATGGTGCTGGAGGGAATAGGGGGGAATGGTGCTGGAGGGATTAGGGGGAATGGTGCTGGAGGGATTAGGGGGAATGGTGCTGGAGGGAATAGGGGGAATGGTGCTGGAGGGAATAGGGGGAATGGTGCTGGAGGGAATAGGGGGAATGGTGTTGGAGGGAATAGGGGGAATGGTGCTGGAGGGAATAGGGGAATGGTGCTGGAGGGATTAGGGGGAATGGTGCTGGAGGGAATAGGGGGAATGGTGCTGGAGGGAATAGGGGGAATGGTGCTGGAGGGAATAGGGGGAATGGTGCTGGAGGGAATAGGGGGAATGGTGCTGGAGAAAATAGCGTCTGTTTTACAGGCTCCTGACCAATTGTGCAATTTTGTGTATTTATTTGCGCTGATTGTAACTTTTTTTGTACACAATGTTTCTGCCATCGTTTCATTATGACTGAAAAGAGCTTCTGGACATCAGAACAGCGATCACTAACCTCCAACTGGACGAGGACTTCTACTTCAATGAGTCTGAGGTGAAAGAAATATTGATTATCCCGACCAGGCCCAAAACTCCGACACTCGAAGAAGGAGGAGACGGCGCTATAGAGGCCGGTGTGCGGGATACCTGACGAGACTACATCGGAGACTGGATAAACAGCCTCTACCCTCCGTTCTATTGGAGAACGTGCAATCACTGGAGAATAAACTGGATGATCTCCGTTCAAGACTATCCTATCAACGTGATCTGATGAACTAATATCTTATGTTTCTCAGAGTCGTGGCTGAACAAGGACATGGTATATACAGTGGGGAGAACAAGTATTTGATACACTGCTGATTTTGCAGGTTTTCCTACTTACAAAGCATGTAGAGGTCTGTCATTTTTATCATAGGTACACTTCAACTGTGAGAGACGGAATCTACAACAAAAATCCAGAAAATCACATTGTATGATTTTTAAGTAATTCATTTGCATTTTCTTTATTTATTTTCTTTAAGAAGCCCTCCTGTTTCCACTCGTTACCTGTATTAACTGCACCTGTTTGAACTAGTTACCTGTATAAAAGACACCTGTCCACACACTCAATCAAACGGACTCCAACCTCTCCACAATGACCAAGACCAGAGAGCTGTGTAAGGACATCAGGGATAAAATTGTAGACCTGCACAAGGCTGGGATGGGCTACAGGACAATAGGCAAGCAGCTTGGTGAGAAGGCAACAACTGTTGGCGCAATTATTAGAAAATGGAAGAAGTTCAAGATGACGGTCAATCACCCTCGGTCTGGGGCTCCATGCAAGATCTCACCTTGTGGGGCATCAATGATCAGGAGGAAGGTGAGGGATCAGCCCAGAACTACACGGCAGGACCTGGTCAATGACCTGAAGAGAGCTGGGACCACAGACTCAAAGAAAACCATTAGTAACACACTACGCCGTCATGGATTAAAATCCTGCAGCGCACGCAAGGTCCCCCTGCTCAAGCCAGCGCATGTCCAGGCCCGTCTGAAGTTTGCCAATGACCATCTGGATGATCCAGAGGAGGAATGGGAGAAGGTCATGTGGTCTGATGAGACAAAAATATAGCTTTTTGGTCTAAACTCCACTCGCCGTGTTTGGAGGAAGAAGAAGGATGGGTACAACCCCAAGAACACCATCCCAACCATGAAGCATGGAGGTGGAAACATCATTCTTTGGGGATGCTTTTCTGCAAAGGGGACAGGACGACTGCACTGTATTGAGGGGAGGATGGATGGGGCCATGTATCGCGAGATCTTGGCCAACATCCTCCTTCCCTCAGTAAGAGCATTGAAGATGGGTCGTGGCTGGGTCTTCCAGCATGACAACGACCCGAAACACACAGCCAGGGCAACTAAGGAGTGGCTCCGTAAGAAGCATCTCAAGGTCCTGGAGTGGCCTAGCCAGTCTCCAGACCTGAACCCAATAGAAAATCTTTGGAGGGAGCTGAAAGTCCGTATTGCCCAGCGACAGCCCCGAAACCTGAAGGATCTGGAGAAGGTCTGTATGGAGGAGTGGGCGAAAATCCCTGCTGCAGTGTGTGCAAACCTGGTCAAGACCTACAGGAAACATATGATCTCTGTAATTGCAAACAAAGGTTTCTGTACCAAATATTAAGTTCTGCTTTTCTGATGTATCAAATACTTATGTCATGCAATAAAATGCAAATTAATTACTTAAAAATCATACAATGTGATTTTCTGGATTTTTGTTTTAGATTCCGTCTCTCACAGTTGAAGTGTACCTATGATAAAAATTACAGACCTCTACATGCTTTGTAAGTAGGAAAACCTGCAAAATCGGC